ATTATTTAGGTTTCTTTAAGGACTGAAAAAATATTTCTGTTTTATATCAGCAGCAAAATTTCTTTTTTATTTTGTGGTGTCTTTTATGACAATATTTCTGTTTTACACTGTAATGTATTTTGTATGTTTTGTAATGTTGCCAGGTTAATAGCAAGATATTGTCATAAGCAGATGTTGGTGACACTAATACAATAAAAAGTTTTACAATATTATGACGTTTACCATACAGGTAGAACAATTTTAATAGATAAAATACTCTACACTGCCAAACCAGAAGGTAGATAGGATAATTATCTAGTTCAAAATAAGACAAAAACCAGTTTATATTACTTCTGTGCTTTCCTGTTAAGTTCACTCAAAACTATAAGTTTTAACAAAATCCCCATGTCTTTGGAAAATGAATGAATGCAACAAATGAAAGATACATCTGAAAGAATTGCCTTTCTACAGCTCTCTTTCTTCACGTGTTTAATACTTTTTCCCTTTTTTCCCTCTGTCATTTGTATTACACATAACTAGGGCCAGGCAGAATCTGCGGACATTTTTTTGCTATTTCTGCTGAGAATTTTGGTAAAAATCTGCGGATTTCTGCGGAATTATTTCGAGATTATCATAACTAAAACCTTAATATATAAAATAAAAAATAATATCTTTTTAACTTTTATTTAATGTTTAAAATGCAAATCCAATTAGATTCACTTTATTTGGTAAATAAAGCAAGTTTGTCATATACAGTTGAAGTCAGAATTATTAGCCCCCCTGAATTATTGGCACCCCTGTTTATTATTTTCACCAATTTCTGTTTAATGGAGAGAAGGTTGTTTTAGCACATTTCTAAGCATAATAGTTTTAAAAACTTATTTCTAATAACGGATTTATTTTATTTTTGACATGAAGACAGTAAATAATATTTTACTTGATATTTTTCAAGCCACTTCTTTATAGCTTAAAGTGACATTTAAAGGCTTAACTAGGTTAATAAGGTGAACTAGGAAGGTTAGGGTAATTAGGCAAGTTATTGTATAACCATGGTTTGTTCTGTAGATTATTGAAAAAAATCTGCGGAATTTTGTGAAACATCTGCAGGAATTCTGTGCACGCAGATACCGGGTGGGCCTACACATAACTTAATTTGTAAACTAATTAGTTTTGTTTTCTTTACATGTATGGATTTCTTTGGTTGTTTCCAACATGTGGTAAAAAAAATTTCTTTAAATTTTTTTTTTTAATTTCACCTTTACAATTACTTTTCTGAGGAAATGGTGAAATGTTCAAAACTTATTTTCCCCATTGTATATGTTATATAATATATTAGAAACCATTCTGTTTATTTACAGTTTAACATACTTAGAGAGGATGCAAACAGAATATCAACTTTTAAACTTTACCTTTAATGATACAGGTGATAATAGAACAGTTTTAATAAATAAAATACAGTATTTTACATTGCCAAAGCAGAAGGTACATAGGATAATGATCTAGTTCAAAATAAGATTTCATTTGAAAAGAAATTAGTTTCTATTACTTCTGTGCCTCCTGTTATGTTCACTCAAAACTATAAGTTTAAACAAAATCTGCATGGCTTTGGAAAATGAATGAATGCAACAAATAAAAGATATATCAGAAAAATTAATTTTTTCAGTAGCATAGAATACAAATAAAACCGATCATTTTTAAAATTATAAAGATAGTTCACACAATTTTGAAAACATACACATCCTAAAATTTTGCCAAACCTGAATGGGTTTCTTTTTGTTGCACACAAAAGAAGATATTTAAAATAAAAAATTGTTAACCAAACCAATGATTTACCATTAATTATTAAGCAGACTCTTTTATCCATGTGACTTATAATGAGGAAGGCATCATATGACTTTGTACTCACAATAAGTGCTACTAATACAAAGTTTCTGATTCTGTTTGGAAAATACAAGCTAGAAGAGCGAATATAATTATAAATTTTAATTTTGTTTTTTAAGTTAAAGGGCTCACTGAACTAAGTTTTACAGTAGGTGTCTTTTGAATGTTGCCAGTGATTTCAGCTGTCTGTACAGGGTTGGGGAAATGATTTGACCAGGCAAGGAACACTGAATGAAACGGTTCTGTAAAATGATTTTAAGACTATCTGTGATGGAACTACAAGGTGGCACTCACAGACTGAAGGCATCTGGAGGGGACGTAGGTTTGCAGAAATAAATTGGTTTTGGAGAGTGCAGAGTTGTGGCTGTTCTGTATGCAAGCATCAGAGTTATAAATTTGATGCAAGCTTCAACTGGTAGCCAACATTTTGGATCTTTTGGAGAGGTTTTAGTGTGAATCATGGTAGCCAGGAAAGCATTGCAGTAGTTCAGTCTTGAAATCACAATTGAACCAGCAACTGTGCTGAATGCTCTTTAAGGAAGGTCCTGAACTTTCTTATGCTGTACAAACCTACATGATCATGCTGTGTTTGCCATGTGATCTTTGAAGGACAACTGTTCATTAAAGATCACTCTAAAGTTCTTCACTGAATTCACTGAATTCCTTCACTGAATATCAGATGACCCCAGATAGATTGTGAAATTATGCTGTATAGCTGGATTGCAGGAAGGAAAAGAAGCTTTTACAGATTGAGCTGCAGATGATATTTCATACAAACCAAGAGGTCCTCCAGGCAGTGTGAGATCCTTGTTGTTACTGTAGTATGGTTGAAATGCGAGATGTGTGTGGTCAGCATAACAATGTTAAGAAAAGTCCTGTTGGGAATGATTGAACCTTGCAAAGTAATGTAAATGGAGAAGAGAATGGTTCCAAGAACTGATCCCTGAGGAACCCCTGTGAAGTGGTGGTTTGCTTTAGACACCTCTCTCCTGGTTATCAACCTTCTTCATAATATTGCTTTTAAGTTCAGCAGAAGACAGATACTGCTATAGATTGAGAACAAGTTATTATATTATTTATCATTTATATTATGTAAATGATTCATTATTTTTGTTTGAATCTCTCTAAGTAAAGTCAAATACCAATTGTTTTACAAGCTGTTAGCATATCTGAGCCTAAACTTCAGGTGCTTTTATTTCGCAGAGATGTATAAAACGTTGATTTTCTAAATTATACTTGAGGAAGCATGTGTTTGTGTGTTGGTGTGTGTACCTCTGATGTTTTTCAGTGTGTTTTGTGCTTTGGCCAGCGAATCCTCCAGTGCATTCATACTAGAGTTTAAATATTGCTGTAACTGCCATTTTTTCTTCTGCATCACACAACAACCACATGACTCCTGGTCAGTCAGGCACGCTAGTGAGAGAGAAATAAAATGTTGCACGTGTCTTTAAGATTTAGTGCATTTCACATGGCTGTTATCAAGATTTATTGTATAAGGCATTAACTCTTACGGTTGATGGGATCTGGAGCGAGGGTTTGTCCTGGTCCGTCCCAGCTGTAGGTCTTTGGCTGGCTGAGCACCAGCGGCAGCGCGCAGAACAGCACAACAACATTTCCTGATTTAAATTGTTCACAAAGGTTTATCACATCATGTCATGATACCATTATACAGTCTGTACAGTTCTGAGCCAGTTTAGCTTAGGCTCATGAAAATGGTGCAAATGTATACAGATCTGTCAAACATAATGTAGCCCACATGGACTCTGTCTGCAGAATCCATCTTGAGCGCTCGTTTATTAAATATGTCAGCTAAATGAATCATTCTTTCAGCTTCCATTAAGAGTGCAGTTCTCTCAGCTACATTACATACACAAACTCAATATAATACGAAAAAAAGGTCTTTAGATTACATCAGGGCTTTGAGTAGCTAATATTATATTTCTAAATATTTGTTAAAAATACGATTGTACTTCTCTTAAATAAAAAGATTGATTTAGAATGAATTATAATAAACAAAATGTATATAATTAAATCATAATACATAGAATATAATAAATACTTCTAACAAAAACAAAGAAAACCATTTGAGGTAACCGACTGCAACAAACCATTTCAAAAAGTACTCCTAATGAGTACTGTGAACCTAATCTATTTGAGTAAACAAAGCAATTTGAGCACAGTAAAACCTAATAAATGATGAGAACTGAAACTAACTGAGTACTGTAAAACTCAATAAGTCAAGGCAACTCAAACTGTTTGAGGAAACCGATTGCTACAAACTATTTGAGTTAAAAAAACTAATCTAAATAAGTACTGTGAACTTACTCTATTTAAGTTGAAGTAATGAGGTATTTAATTAGCTCATTACCTTCAACACTGAGTTCAAAACTCTTTTCAAATTGGTAGAATTACCTTTAAGCCAATTTTAAGTTAACTACACACCTTTCATTTGATAAAGTTGACTGTTGGGTTTTACAGTGTAGTAAAAACAAATAAATATTAAAACTAATAGTAAGACACAACAACAGCTGAATGGTATTTTGTCCCCTATAAATGTTTAACAGCCACAACAGTCTGACAAACTAATGTTAGGCTCTTACTCTCAGAAAAATAGTTTCTGTACATAAACAGTGTTTATTTTCTCACCTTTCATGTCTCACAGCTGTTTCTGCCTATTGAGTCTTAAGCGAGTGAAAACCAGAGTGTTGTATTCGGCTTTATATCCAGCCAGATCTCCTCCTTCCACATTCAATAGAGGCAGATTTAGGTCTGTGTGTGTGTTTATAAAGAGGAGCTTTATTTCAGTAATATGAATAAAAGCTACAACAAGTGGGACGACTGCTCCTGTAACCGTGATTTACCTCTGATGCGTTGAAATCCAAAACCTCACCAAGCTTTATACAATACTGCAACACAATGAAGGGCATAAGAGACATGAAATGTGATGAAGCTGACCGCAAAGCTTCAAACCTGCTATCTCAAACATGTGCTTTCCCAGGAAAGGATTTCTGTTTCATATTGATTGGGGCCCCAGAACAGCTATTCAGAGGAACGCACCACACCTCTGTCTACAATGCAGCAGAAGTGATGGAAATCATCACAGTGATGTGTGTTGTAATTTAAGTATTCCCACATGGTGCTTCATTATTGGACTTTATTTGACTCAGTTCAGTCTGATAGAGATCTCGGTGCAACAAAGCTAAGAAGCTCAACAAGCACACAATAAAGCTCAGCAAATAGCCAGCATATGTATATAAACCTCTGTGGAAAGAAGGAAGCAGTTAAAATGACACTTCATTCCAAAAATGAAAAGTCCAAGCAAGCATTTTTTGTTTTTAAAAGATGTCTAACAGATGTCTAAACATGGTCATCTTGGCTAAAACATGGCTAAATTTGGGCTGTCAGTGAAAATCTAATAGATGTCTAAGAATGAGAAGCCAACACAAAAAAAGTGTATCAAATCTATTTGTTTTGGCCTATTCTTAGAGATCTATTAGATTTTCACTGACAGCCCAAGTTTAGCCTTGTTTTAGCCAAGTTGTCTACGTTTAGATGTCTATTAGATGTTTCTTAAACACAAAATTGTTTGCTGCGGTCTGTCAATTTGTTTCAAACCTATATGATGTTATTTTTGTGCAAATCACAATAATAATATATTGACCATTTGGCAGAATCAGATATATCTTTTTTGTGTGTGTGTGTTTAATAGATTTTTGGAACAACGTGAGACTGAATAATTCATTTTGGGATGAAATATTTTATATATAATATAAAAAATAATTTTTGGTTTCATTTATATTTATAAATTATATGCACATTTTATAAAAGGCAAAATGGAAAAAAAACAACAGCTTGTTAGGGCTGCACGATTAATCGAAAAAAGATTGTGATCTCGATTTGACCCCCTCACACAGTCTTAATTCAGCATCTCTGCGATTCAGCCAATTATATTTTAAAGTACGGGAGAAGCATAAAGGAGGTCTTCAAACTGTTTTATATACGTTGCTCAGCAATGTGGACACCTCCAAATTGTTTTAAAAGGGTCACACGAGATGCGTCTGAAAATGCCTAGTACTCAGTAGGTGCATTTGAATTTAAATGAACTACTCGGCCATTAGAAAAGTATGTTCTATACAGTATGAATGTGAGCAGTATGAATGATACTCGGATGTACTACATCTGCCATTTTGTCATCGACACGTTGAATTGCGTCGCTTCACTCCCGTTTATGAATTCTCTCACAGGGCATAATGGGATAGCGTAGCGTCCATACTGTACGATGCGCACTTCAAAATCTCGCTGGAAGAAGCAGGTCATACAGGTACTTCTCGCATACTGATTTTTAAATTCTTTAAATTCGGACATACATTTTTAGCGTACTATGTAGTATGGAAGTATATTATTTTGGATGCAGCCATACTCTATTTATAAGGTATAATTCACCCAAAAATGTCATTTCTGTCTTCATGTAATGATGCATTTGCAGCCGTGAAATCAAACATGAGCTGACGCACTGTTTATATTCTACCATGAGCACGTGTGCGGCTGCAAATGATGTATAGTTTAGTAAACATAACCTGAATAGGCTGTGTATAACAGGTAATAAAGTTGTAAAATAACGTCCAGTTTGTTGAACAGAACGATCGTTTAGCATCCGTGGAAGAAGTATGATTTGCATATATGCTTTTTTTTTTCTCTCAAAGTGACGGCAGCCATGACATTAGCTGCACTCATCGGTGAAATTAAAAACAAAAACTGCACACATCATTTAACTATATATTACATTTTAGTTATGATTACGACAAGCATTTGGTATGTTTTTTCTTTCATAGCAAACACAAAGTGTTGTGCACGAGAATAAATGTTTTACAGTGTCATTACAACTGCTCTCGAAGCTATAATATTGAATATAATGCAAGAGGGAATTTGATAATGACAAATGTCTCATTTTACCAGTAAAAAAATTGTCTAATATAGTTGTTCATGACAAATGACAAGCATATTTCTCAAACATAATATTTAAACTTTAGAATTATGAAAATTTGTATTCTGATGTCATCACTTTACTGTAAATTAACAAACAGGACAAATTTAAAGTCTATTCAATCCACCATCGCATGTCTATACAAGTTTTAGTATTTTATCTAACAGCAAACCTACACACAAGCCTAATATTATTTATTGTTGTTTTACCATATATTTGAGAAAAAAAAAATAATAGCATACTCATATTAACCTTTATCTACAGAATTGTGAGAAAATTGTGATCTTGATTTTAAGCTAAAAAAATCGTGATCGAATCTCATTTTAGTCAGAATCGTGCAGCCCTACTGCTCGCTACCACGTGAAAAATCCCTAACATGATGACAGAATGTACTGTAAAACCCCCTAACAACTCTGTTTTTTTATATTCAACGGAATGTTTTTGTTTTGCATATTTAACTAATTTACACATTTGACAGTTGTGTTTTAAAGTGGCTTGCATTCAAGGTATGTATTTAAATCAGTTATATTCCATCAGACCTAAATCAGTGTTTTTACAGGTAGCAGCTAGCATGTTTGGACAGAAAGACAAGTTGCTACATGGCGAAAAGATCCAGTGTCATAACAAACGAAAGGGTATTTATAATTTATAACAGCAGCATATTTGAAAAGTAATTGCAGATATAAAAGTGAAAAAAAGATTACAGTTATTGAGCAAGATTTTTGCCAGGGGTTTGCTTTTGCAGGCAAGCCAAGACCTAGCAGCCGAAATTAAAGCAGGAAGACTTCAGACGTACACATTATGTCATGCATTAAGCATTCCTCCCCTTTCATCCATTCATTCGTCCTCTTTTACTTTGCTGTCGTAGCTGCCTTGGCCTTTGTATGCAGAGACGTATCCACTGGTGTCAGGGATGTCCGCCCTTCCCTCGCGGCCTTTTCCCTTTCCAGATTCATCAAAACGCTCCTTATGAGACCCGGTGTACTTGCTGGTGTCTGTTAACCTATCCACGGCTGAGGCTTTTGCCACTTTCTGTGGAGGGAAAAAGATGGTGGTTAATGTGCGTGTTTGTTTCTTTAAAAGCAGGTCATATGGGGTTTCAAAACAATATCTCATTTGCGGTTTTTAATGTAGCTGTGTTTTAATGAAAACACAACTCATAAGTTGTTAATGAAAACACTGCATGATAAAGATATTGGGCTCATTGTATTATTTATATTAAATGAATAGGCGAGACAGTGGCGCAGTAGGTAGTGCTGTCGCCTCACAGCAAGAAGGTCGTTGGGTCGCTGGTTCGAAACTCGGCTCAGTTGGCGTTTCTGTGTGGAGTTTGCATGTTCTCCCTGCCTTCGTGTGGGTTTCCTCTGGGTGCTTCGGTTTCCCCCACAGTCCAAAGACATGCGGTATAGGTAAATTGGGTTGATAAATTGTCCGTAGTGTATGAGTGTGTGTGTGAATGTGTGTGTGGATGTTTCCCAGAGATGGGTTGCGGCTGGAAGGGCTGCGTAAAAACTTGCTGGATAAGTTGGCGGTTCATTCCGCTGTGGCGACCCCGGATTAATAAAGGAACTAAGCTGACAAGAAAATGAATGAATGAATATTAAATGAATATACATGTTCATGAATCATAAACAGAGGAACAATTTTTTAATGTAAATCCTTGGTGAAGCTGTTATGACATCAGTTTTGACAATGACTAAATTTTCTGATTCACCGAAGTGTTCAGGTTTTCTAAGTGAAATAAATGTGTACCTGCTCCCTTTCATGTGTAAATGCTGCACAAAAATTTCAGTTTTCTTTTTGACATGCTGATTAGTGAATTTTAAAGCATTGGCATGATAGTTTATTTAGTTTGTTTGGTCTGTATTTTATATGTTTATTTTGACAACTAAAAATTTGGATAAAACTCAGAAGTTCTCAACTGCCTCCAGAAGGACATTTTTAGAAGAGAGCCTGGCATTTTGAAGCTGTGTGACAAAAACAGCAACAAAAAGTGTCTTGTTGCACACACATTAATTGAATTGAAAATATTTTTGGCCTATTAATATGGCCAGATGGCCTATTAATCTTTACTACATTTATGAAACATAATGGAGCTGAGACTTTGAAGGGAGTTTATAATATTCCACTGTGTTCTTGGACATAATATATGTCGTTTAGTAATTTAAAGGCAGTGGTTATGCAGGGCTGGGACTTTATTCTCAAATCTGATGTTTAGGAAGCATTTGGTCTATCTGGAGCAAAGCTTTTAGAAAGGTCTGAGTTACTGTAGTTGTTGTACGAATGTTTCATGAATGTGTCCCATTGTTTCTTAAAAGAAACAGTGATTTGAGTGATTTGCCTTTGACAGGTTTGTTTTAAAGCAATTTTGTTGTATATAAAAAAAATATTCTGCTACTTCTCTATGACACATTTGCATAATCTTTCCTGCCACCTCATAAGTGACGTTTAATATTAAACTGATTTCGAGAGGAGCACGTGCACATGATTGACCCAGCTGGCCCACATTAGCTAATCACAATCCTCCAATCAAAGGATCCCAAGTCACTATATATATCCTCATTTCCTTTCTACAACTATCTTCGTCTGGAAGAAAACCCCCTCCTCCCCTTCTTCCACTTTTATCTAGAATGGGTGGCACGGCAGCCCAGTGACTAGCACTGTTGCCTCAAAGCAAGAATACCAATGGCTCTGGGTCCTCGCTAAGCCATTTGGTATTTCTGTGCAGAGTTCGCATGTTCTCCCAGTGTTCGCATGGGTTTCTCCTGGGTTCCCTGGTTTCCTTCCACAGGAAATATGCTTTATATTATAGACAAAATAAGTATTTTTTTCGAAATGTCTTACTATCAGGAAGTTCACCGTAGCATTAGCAGTGGGGGAGTTTTGAGATCGACCTGAGCTCAATCTCCCCTCGCCCTGTGAAAGGGAGGGAGCCCTGATCCTGAGAATCTCTTGAGCTCAGGGCTCTCTCCCAGGACAGCAAGCCAAACAAGCTATGTATAAATCATGAGCTAAGTGTGTATTCTTACAGTCTTTATTTGACAATTTCTTGCTCAGTCCCACATCAGCAGTGAGACACACATGCAATGTACAGTGCCATAATTAACAAGCAATCTCCACTGATGCTGAATAGTAGATTCTGTCAAATGGAGTCATTATTTTTGTTTTATTGCTTCAAAAGTATTTTTGTAGTTTCATAAAATTCCATTACATCACCATGGAGGGTCAGAGAGCTCTCGGATTTTATCAAAAACATCTTAATTTGTGTTCTGAAGATGAATAAAAGTCAGATTTAGAACAACATGAGGGTGGTTAATGACATATTTTTGGGTGAACTGTCTTTTTATTCAAAATGTATAGAAGGCCACTTTGGTGAAAGGGGTTTGGATGCAGACTCGGTGCAATTTTAATCTGAGCTGCACGCAATGCTTTTTAATGCCAACACCCGTGGTGTAGGCCTAGTCCTTGCTATACGCACGTATACTCAGCATGCTTACTTTTTTCCATGAGCTGTTTGGGTATTGCCACTTCTGACGATCAATAAATGCGTGTATCCTCAGTATACTCACTTGTTTTTCTGATTAAACTTCCCTAATTTACGTGTAGTCACGTCCCCTTTAACTGTATATGAAATGTTGTTTTTTTTTAAACTTGCAACTTAATTTGTTGCAATTGGTGCATTTTTTGTTTAACTTGAACCGTTTTCGCTCCCTGACGACTGAAGCAGCTGTGAGAAAATTTGGGGAGTTTTTCGAAGACCACGACAAGTCAACTGAATGATGTCTTGCTGAAACATTCAGGTTAATTCATGAAGCAGCATGGGCATTGCTTTAGCCCTCCTATATTTCTATTCAGCACCTGTATCATTTGTACCCCAATGAAAGGGTCATGGAGGAGCCATCGGGTTTCCCCATCTTTTCCCAGTGCTCCCATCATCATCACAGCTGTTTACTTCAGCGAACATGCAACTCTTAACGAACATATCGCTATGTTTATTTCAAAATTAACTATGATTATAAAACACATTACAGTGCATGTGGTATTAACTATAGCATACATTCGATTCGTTCACAGAATTAAACGACAGAACCATTCTGGGAATGGACTTATTTTTACTGCGTATCAGAGTGAAATCAGAGTAAAAATACCTGTTGTATCGTATTTTCTTTTTCCTATTATGACTTATATTATGATAGTGAAATATGTCAAATAGCCTGTACAATTTTATCTGTTCATATTTATGCCATTTTGAATGTTAAAATGTGGCAGTTTTATTTATTTAATACATGGGGGCACTGTTAGCTAAACATAAATCATTAAAAAGGTATAGATAGCTAATGAATCAAAGAAACGTTGACCTTTGTCGTTTCTTTACCTACTTTCATTTAAAATTTGGGTCGGGTGTAATAGCACACCACCTTTTTTTTAAGACTACACCACTGGCCCGCCCCTAGCCCCACCTCTAACCCTACCCCTCACAGCGATGCCACTAGCTCCATTGAGTGCATTGTGTCTGACATAGCATTGCTGAAAGATGCAATCTCAGCTTGCATCATAAAATCTGCATCCAGATACTGTTGGAAATTTGACAACCTGTTTTTTAAGCCTCAGACACAATGTTAGAACACATAAAATACCATATGACTTACTTTTTATAGCTTATTTTCCCAAAAACTAATGTAACTGATTTGTACTCACAGTGACACCAATGTTGGTTGGTTCTTTGCCAGCAATGAGGCCATAGAGGAGCTGCACTGCCTCCTCCTGGCTCTTCCCTTTAAAACGTTTCGTAGCCAGTTCGCCCATGGCTTGAGTGAACTGCTCAAATGTGATAATACGTGCTGATTTAACCCTAGCACATAAACATTATACAGTTATTCATCCATTAAAGTGCACAGGATTCAATTAAAAGCTGAAATGACTCATACTTGACTTTGCTGAAGATGATGTCTACGTCTGTGCTGGTGACATTTTTCCCATCGATGACCTTACAGTCTTTACACAGCTTAACAAAGTTTTTCCCGTTCATTTCCTTCCCCGTCGCTTTGGTGTCTCCATGAACTGCAAATTTACGAAATGCCATCTCAACCTCTCCCAGCGATATTTCACCCGAACCCTCAGCCATGCTGCCGATCTGCAATTTTAAAAAGGATGAGTTTTAAACAAGATGCACAAAATATCTTCCAGTGGTGGAAAGAGTACTGAAAATCATACTTTAATAAAATTATAACAAAAATTATAACAAAATGTGGTGCGAGTAAAAGTATCTGTGGCAAATATTACTCAAAGTATGAGTAAAAAGTAGACCTTTCAAAAGCACTTGAGAGTAGTGAGTATTACGCTGTAAAAAGCTGATGCGAACATGTATTTTCTGGATGTGTGTGTAAATGTAATATTCTGTAGTGCATCTAGTTCTGTAGTGCATCATACAGTCAACATCCTTCATTTCCTCCTCAGTGACATGCAGTTTAAACATTTCTGGGTCATTGCATATAAAGACTTTGGACATCTTTCTGGACACTTTTAATGCTTTCTCTAACTGTTTGCTGCATTTACAAAGCACCCATCTCTTGAGGTTGTTCAGTATAATGTTATTTACTATCTATGTGCAATTTAATTAGACGGGAATTAAAGGACTTAATTTTCTATTCTGCATAGACAAGAAAAAGTAAAGTATTGGAGTAAAAGTACAGATACTGCACTAAAAATGTACTCGAGGGAAAAAGGACTCAGCATATTGGTAAAGATAGATAAACGCTTTAAATAGATTTTTTTTTCCTGCTGGTTGATCCATGTGTGCTATTGGCCATGAATAAACACACACTTTAGTAGTGTTTATGCTACAGAAAAGACAATAAGATGACAGGACTGTGAGTTTTTCAACCATGGAAAAAATAGAACTTCAGAATTGCAATTTGTCAACTAAGATCTAAATATTTCCCTTGAGTTTCATTGTTCTCTGCAGTAAAGTCAATTTTTTTGTGGTTTTATTAATCAGGAATTATATTAATACATTAAAGTTTTGTATTTCTCTGCATCAGTTTTCAAATCCAAAAATAAAGTTATCATGTTGGCCAAAAGGTAGACAAAATGCTGTAGTTTATTTTCTTAGCCACTGCGTCGTCCCCTGTTTAAAATTGCAAAATGTTATTAAGAAGTGATTTCATTATAAATCTGTCTTAATTTTTCTTACAATAAATTGTATACGTATTAAAAAATATTTATATCTTAGACTTGTCATATTCATAAATAGAGAGGATGCATGCATGTGTTCAGATGCATGTATGATGTCAGAGTAACTTAAAGCGCAAAGTTAGTTAGCTATTGACCATGCAAATAGAAAAAAGGTGGAAAAAAAACAATTGGAGTGTCGTCTAGTTAAAAGGGAATGCAACAGCCTTTGTAATAAAACTCTAAGCGATACAGGTTTGTTAGATGCTTAAACGCATTTAAACAGACCCACAAATTGATTGTATTGCATTGATAGATATCCACATAACATTAGCAAGCGATTATATAATGTAGGCTACTGTGAAGAGCCATTTTATAAGGCCTGTCAGTAGTGCACTGTAACAATCCAATGAAGCTCACAATGATGAAATGTAAAGGATTTTATTTTCTAGGTTATGCTGTGTCAGTTTTAAACCTTGTTTATTACAAAGTGGATGATGGGTTTAGCCATTTAAATGTTTTCTGATCTTTTTATCAAAACTTATCTGGTTATCTGATCTGTCTTTACTATTTATATAATATAATATAATATAATATAATATAATATAATATAATATAATATAATATAATATAATATAATATAATATAATACATCATTTTTTACATTTCCAAAACAATGTTTTTTTTTCTGCAAATATCATGCAGTTTTATTTATTCACCGCTAGAAGGTACTAAAGTGTACCTTTTAACAATTACAACACTGCATGTAAACAGCAGCTGTGCTGAAAGGTTTTATATTTTAAGCTCTGTAAAAACCAATAACATCTGGATGCAGCATATATGATGCAAGCTGAGATTGCATCACTCAGCGATGCAATGTCAAACACAATGCAATTCAATAGAGTGATTGACGTCACGGTGATGATGAGTAGGGTTAGGGGTGGGGTTAGGTGAGCGCATCAAAAAGCATTGGATGCAGCCCAGATTGCACCAGGTCTGCATCCAGACCCCTCTCGTAAAAACACATCCAAACACCTAAACACCTGATCATCTATCATAGCAAACCTTTTTTTCTTGAATGTCAGAAATTTGGTGTCAGTGACCATATTTTCTTGCACAAAGTTGCCACTTAATGTATTTTAAAAATAATAATATAAACAGTTACAGTTTTACTGAAGACTTTAAAGCTTTGTTTATACATCTATACAGCATGACCTCTCGTAATAATGTCTGTGTGTTTGCTGGTATGCACCGACATTAAAGCTGCCGTGGTGCTGTAATGATACACCCAGAATTACTGATGTCCAATACATCTTTCTTGCTTATAAATGTCATGCTAATTGCCGCAGAGAGAGCGAGAGAAAGAGAGAGAGATGTACATTACTTACACTAAAAGCTAAAATGTAATGAGCTCCACTTTACTAAATTAGCTCCAGCCTCTCTCTCTCTCTCTCTCTCTCTCTCTCTCTCTCTTTCTCTCTCTTCTCTCTGAATTATCGAAGTGATGTTCGCACTGTTTTTAATTATATTGGAGAAAAATGCATTTATTCTTTCAGCGTTAAAGTATTAAAAAAAGGAAAAAAAAATAAAAAATAGGATTGATTTACCTTGGAGAAAATTTTCCGAAAGTTAAAGATGAAATAATGCCGGTATGGGAAGCAATTCATAAACCACTATTGACAAAGCGGGTTCAGTGGATAATACTCCATGGTATTGTTGCTGAAAAGGCTTTTGTGTTTATTTTATTTCTGATGTTAGTGATTTATGTCCGTTTTGTAATTGTAGAGAAACAATTTTTCATTGTTTTCTTAAATGTGAATGGTTGTTTTTATTATTTGAGTTTTTGAAAGAATTGTTTGTTTTGTTTTGAGAAATTTTCTCTGATGTTTGTTTCGTTTTGGGAGTAAAAATTGGGAGAAAAAACAAATGTTTGTAAAATAGTAAATTATTTGGAAGGAAAAGCGAAAATAACAATTTACATAACAAGAAAAAGGAAAATTGAACAAAGATTTTCTATAGTTTTTTAAAAATGCAAAATAAGGACTAGAATATGCCTAGAATTTAATTATAGATTGATGGACAATAATGAAAGATATTTGGAGTTGAGATGGAAAGATGTGTACTGTTATAGGAGAAAGTGTATCTTTTTCTGAATTGTTAAAAAAAATAGTCAAAACATTGTCATGTTGGCAATTGTCAAAACATTGTCATGTTGGCAATTGTCAAAATTGTCATAAATGTTTTTTTAATGATTATATACTCATTGTATTTCAATTGCCTTTTAAAAAGGCAAAATAAAGTTTTGTTAAATCTTAAAAAATCTCTCTCTCTCTCTCTCTCTTTCTCTCTCTCTCTCTCTCAAAAACTTGTAGAGTGGCTATTGAAGGAAAAAATATAGAGATTTTGGAATTTTTATATTGCTTTGATTCAATCTAAAATCATAATGGAATATAAATTTCATCAACTCACAGGGAATTTACTTGAACCATTCTCAATATACAGTAAACTGCGTGTGATGAAGTTTTATGTATGCTTTGTGAAGATGGTATTATTTTATTGGTGATGTTTGATTATCTGATGGTGTTTTGCTCTCTGAGGTTTAAATCTTAATTAAAGTTTTTTTTTTTTTAAATTCCTTGTCTCTTTCTTCATCTATAATATTGGGTATTTCAAATCTGTAAAACTAAATAAGCATCTTAAAATAAGCATGTTTTTCTTTCTTTTTCTAATATTGGGTATTTTAAATCTTTAAAATTACAATTATAGCATCTTAATCTTAACTTCTGGGCAGCATAAAAGAATCAAGGATATGAAAGAATAGAACATAAGAAAATACTGAATCAAAATACCTCAAAAATAAACAAATCTCTTGCATTTTTAGAAATGAGCAGGCTCTTGCAATCATCCATATATTTCTTCATCGCATAAATGTAACAAGCAGCTTCTTTATGCTCTATTCTTTCATTTTCATTCTGTCTGTTAAGAATATTTCCCATGTTCTATTGACCTCAACAAACAAGCGTTAAGTATACCTCGTGCATAATTTAAAACTCTTTTTGACCTTGTAGACACTGCATACAGAAAACACTTCCGGATGGGTGTGTGTTATTCTTGAGTGAATGAGCAGGAGATATCTACCTACCTGACAGAGGTGGACAGTCTTGGATGCTGATGCTAAGCTGCTCCGAAAGGATGCTGAATGTGGGTGTGTGTTGTTGCTCCGTCTTCCTGTCTGCCTCTTCTAAGTGCGTGTATGCGCGTGTGTGTGTGTGTGTGTGTAGGATGACGTAAAGTTGAGGGGAGGAGAGAGAGCACAGCCCAGCACTGATGACATCATTTGCTCTTCTCTCTCTTTTCTTTTCTGGCACACGTCCTCTTGTCTTCCCTCTTTTTATTCTGCCTTTGTGACCCTTTTCTTTGTCCTCTGCTGACTAGATATTACTTAGCTTTTTGTTTTCTCTTCATCTTTGTTTTTCTTTCCTCCTCCTGTCCTTGCTTTTGTCTCTCTCTCTCTCTCCTGCCACGCCCTTTTCCATCAGTCCCTTCAGAGGGTTATAGTGATCCGCACACACATGTGCTCGCATGTTGTTGCTGTGATGCTCCAAATGTTATTTACTCTAATGGCTTCTGTGCATTTCTGTCTAATGCGACTCACCACTTACCGATAACGCAAGCACTTAGAGAAAGACACACTCAGGGATAATGTGACTTGCCTTGAGTAGAGAAACAGTAGATGTAGTTTCTGTCCACATATTTTGTGCTTTCTAGGATATTGCATTAAAGGAATAGTTCACTCAAAACGGACAATTCTATAATAGTTAACTCACCCTTTACTTGGATCAAACCGCTTTTACTTTCTTTCTTGTGTTGAACACAAAATAAGACATTTTGATGACAGCTGAAAAAAATGTAACCATTGACTTCCATAATATTTGTTTTTCCTACACTCTCGGAAAAAAGGTACACAAGCTGTCATTGGAGTGGGACCTTTTTAAAAGACACACATTTGTACTTAAAAATAATATATTTGGACCTAAAAAATTTAAGAGGTACACTTTTGTACTTTTTAGGTATTAATATGTACCCTTAAGTTATTACCATGGACCCTTTAGGTACAAGTGTGTATTTGAACCCCAGAAAGGGTTTGCTCATGTACCTTTATTTCCGAGAGTGTACTATGGAAGTCAGTGGTTTTCTTTCTTCAAAATATCTTCTGTGTTCAACAGAATAAAGAAAACAATATAAGGTTTAAAACCACTTAAGGGTGAGTAAACTTGTCATTTTCTTTGGGTGAACTATCCCTTTAAAAGCCAAGAATGGAGAGTCAAGATGCCATACATTTTCAAATGTACATAACAACATACTTTTAACTAAGTTGTATTGAAGGTTTTTTCTAGCACAGGTAAAAAAAAATTAGGTTAGAAGTAAATTTTAAAGTGAATAACTTCATTTAAGTTAAATCTAAAACTTGTGGTGGAAAGAACGCTAGCTTTCATACATGCAAATGTTCTTGAAATAACTGGAATTTGGTCAAGTTGCAGTTATTACGAGAACATTTGTGTGCATGAAAGCCCTAGCTTTGTTTCTGTCACAAGGTGGTAATTTAAAGCGCACCTATGATGAAAATCATCTTTTGTAAGTTGTTTGGACAGAACTGTGTGTAGGTATAGTTTGTCCAGAGTCATATTGGGGTAATAAAAACACAATAAGTGTTTTTTTTTTATTTCCTGATGTTTAAATAGGATCCAAATTCCTCCCATTTTGAGACCGACTGCAACTTGATGTAGGAATGTGGTTTCCCCGCCCACCGAATTGATTGACAGCTGCATATTAACATGTCCCCGTAGTAACGGAGTATACTAGTAAAGCAGTATACTGTGATCATAACAGATAAACATAAAAGGGACTAAGCCAAAAAGAAAAGGAATGAGTGAACATAACGGATATCCATACAGCAGTGGATATTAACATTTATCCTGTCACATTTGCCGTGCAAAAACAGTGCATGGTTATACGCGTGTGCTGTGTGTGTGTGTGTGCGTACATGTACTTCGTGAGGACATTGTGTGTGACTCATTGTTGCAACTTCACAACAAATACATCAATAAACCATTGGGAAAGTTCTTACTGTATTATTTTTCACAAACATTACATGAGATCTGCTTCCTTCATGTCTGTCACTGTGCTGTTTATCTGACACAGCCGAGGCAGAAATTGAGGCACACTTTGACTGGCACGTGGGAACGGTGGGCAGAAAGAACTTGCATTAAAGGCAAAGGCAACAAACACAGCTACATTGTGTCCAGAGCAAAAAACATAATATAATATTATATTGTATTAAATATAAGATAGCACTTGATCATATCACATTTGAGAATGTGAGTTTGTATGGGTGTTTCCCAGTATTGGGTTGCAGCTGGAAGGATCTGCATTGTGTAAAACATATGGTGGAATAGTTTTCATACCACTGTGGTGACCCCTAATAAATAAGGCACTAAGCCAAAGAAAAATGAATGAATAAATGTTTTTGACTTGATATGGACATTAATTATACAGATTTTGGAGATTGTAGAGCAGAGAGATGATTATAATAATGATTAAGTGCCAGTAATAATTTATGGTTTCTGAAGAAATTTGTAAAACTAAAACTAAAGAATCTGAAAATAAATATTTTACATTGAGTACATACATTTTACAGTATTAAGTTTATTTGTTTATTTTTTATTGTGTTTTGATCAAGTAAATGCAAGCTTGGTGAGATGTGATGCAAAAAAATTACAGATCCCAAACTTTTGACTGGTATTAAATCCACATGCAATGATCAAGAAACATTTTTTTAGTAATGTAAGATAATGATAGAAACATTTAGCTGGATGGGGATGATTGGGAGGCCATGATGGGTATGAGGGCCAATGGAGAGAATTTGGTCAGGACACCAAGGTTACATCCCATAGAATTTTCAATGACAACAGAGAGTCAAGACCTCGGTTTATTGTCTCATCTGAAAGGCAGTGCTCACTGATAGTATACTGTCCTCTTCACTATACTGGGGCATTTGGACCCATACAGACCACAGAATGAACATCTACTGCTAACCACACTAACACCACTTGCAACACCAATAAAGTTTTCCCGTGTGGTCTCCTGTCCAGGTACTGACCAGGCTCAACCCTGCTTAACTTAAGTGAGTAACTGGTCTTGGGTGGTCTAGGGCAGGGGTTCCCAAACTTATCAGCCCGCGAACCCACAATAACAATGCCAGTGACTCATGACCCCAATATCCTCTGAGGTGGTTATAAGTACAGAAACCTTGCATGCAATGGTGCACACACACCCATAGACCCAAGTCTATTCTTTGTTGAATTTTTTAAACCTATGTCAGTGTTGTAAATGTGCCAGAAAGTTTAACCTGGTGTTATAAAATCAATCTGCTGCATCTGAGCTATTGCAGTGTCTTTAATATAACGTAATTATCCCAGGGGTCACAATCCAATAGAACTAATAGCTATAAACTACTATAGTACCTATACAGTATTTAGTAACTATAAACAACAATTTTTTTTTTCTTTTCAGTAGGTTATGGACAAAATATGGTAATACTTATGGTTTAATAAAAATAAATAGATTTTCCTGCAACCCCTGGGGGGGTCCTGACCCCCACTTTGAGAACCACTGGTCTAGGGTGGTATGCCTTTGGCAATAGCTAGGAAACTATATTTTTGCTAGCATTTTACAAGCATTACATTTCACTTAATTTTGCAATCGATTATGCAGCTTATTAAAATAAAGCACAAAATACAAAATGCATTGCAATAAACGGCACGGATGAACATCAGTAGCATTTTGCACGTGATATAATCAGTCTACTTTAGTATTTATATTTGATTTAAGTACAATCCATTTTTATTTGAGGCAGTACATCCATTTAAACCAGAAATTACCTTGAATAATGAACAAACCTTCCACAGATTTGCTGTATAAGAGCTCCCTCTACAGTGTGCTGGAAGCAGAGCATGTGACATACATTGGCTACAAAGAGCAAGAAGATGGATGAATTCTGAAGGTCAAAATCATTAAAAACCTCCATTCGGCCGTTGTGGTTTGTTTTGTTTTTTTTGATGCTAAAGATAACAAGCTGGCAAAAGCTTTATAAATATTTACCCACGTACACCAGAGTCTCATACAGAATGACAAATGGGAAAAGCACTCTAAAAGATGTTTGAGCCGTGTACATATTTTGAGAGCAGTGGAGGCAAGAGCTCAAAACTGTTTAATTCTAAAGGCATGAATATAGGAGCATTCAGAAACGGTGCTTTTATTCACAAACTAACCAAACAATTTACTAATAATGTTTCGATTTTGAAATGAGTAAACCTTGTTAAAATTGTTTGAACGCATTAAAACATCCTGAAGTCTGGTTGCGATGGAGCTGGGTAAATCATTCCGTCAATATTCTGGTCCCTGTGAACACAAGCATTTAACTGCTTCATATAAGAGAAAGGATCATTAGCAACAAAGCAACGGAGTATGCATGCAGTGTTCACTTCATAGGGAGTATTATGTAATGTGTGCAAAAATGTGTGTTTTCCCTGAAGTGCAGGTCTGGCACCTCATCCAGATGGTGGCTCAGCATCCTTTACCGCTTCCACCCGGACACCATTGTGAATGCACATGGAAGCAGAAATAATATAATTATTATTTCCACTTTATGTTTAAGTTTCAGAGCACAAGACTTCCAGTTTCAAACAAATTGCTACCTACACTGTAATTGAGAAATGTGATCTTGGACCACAAATCAGCACAGTTACATTATATACATTGTATGCTTCAGATTGATAGATTTTTCGGTAACACTTTATAATAACTACACACTAGTATGAATCATTTATTAAGCTTTAGCAAACAGTGAATTCATTATTTGTTAAGCATTAACCCTACGTTAATAAACATAAGCAGTTCATAAATGCAGATACAAAAGCTCTATTATTCTTGACATACAAGCACATGTATAATGTGCTTAATGATTGTGTTTTCATACTTTGTTGATTATTATTTTTCATTACTAAATTAAGTATTGCATCATTTACAAACCAGTTATTTGAGGGAAGTTGCTGGTTTTTAAAGATTATTCAGAATGAGTTAGTTAATGATTAATAAGCTATTGAAATTAACATGTATATCTTATTTTTCGGGCATATAATTATAGTTAATGTGTATGTTAATAAATGCTTTATTAACACAACTTCATGTAATTTTGTGACCTAATCTAAAGTGA